GGCGTCTGAGCGGACGCTTGACCGCCAGTCGCATACTACCAGCTGCAGAAGCCTGTGGATCAGCTATCGTCTGGCAGGTGTCTCTGTGCTGTGTGACTGTTGCGCAGAGCGGCAGGCGTCACCAAACCAAGCGAGACCGACCCTTTTTTCGCCACGGATCATTCTTGTTTAGAAGATGGAGAACGGAGCCTTGCAGATCCAAGCTTGAGGACGGATGCTGAGGACGAACGGTGTGTGTGTGTGTGTGTGCGTGTGTGGGCAGAACAGCAACCAGGCACCGCATGCTGCATGCAGCATATGTGAGGTCAGGCGGCGCAACGATCCACAACAGAAGCTGCCTGGATCGATGACTGCATGTCCTGGACAATGATTGACTGCCGTCGATTCGATTCGACGAAACCTTGTGTGCTATTTCGAGAGGTGCCTGGTTGCCACGGCGGGTTTGTATGGTTTCGTTTGGAGTCGTCTGTGACACGGCTTGTCAGGATGCAGTCGACAACATCTGGCGGATCATTGTGTACCTGACACGGCTTGTGTGAGGAGGACGCGTCTTGGGGACGAGAGGAAAGCGTGAAGGTCGGGCGAGGAGGGCGAGGAGGGGGAGCATGGATCGCCAGGAACAGGGACAATACCGGACGAAAGAGACGTCAGGTACGACACAGTGTGGGAGCCAATAGTCGAAGACGAGCCAGCGATGTGACGCTGGAATATGTGGCTTGTCCCAGTTGCGAGTGGTGCATTGTGAATGCAGTGCTGCAATGTAGTGCAGTGATGCCACCGCGATCGACCGGCGCCAGCAAAAGACGCCCTCGACCTGCAGTATGATGCAGGTTGACAGGACCATGTTGAAAGTTCACGCTGCAACCGCATGGAGACCTGACTTGGAGCCTTGGAGCGAGAGAGAAAGAGTGTGGATGAAATTCAACCTGAGGTTCCAGTCGGGAAAAGACTGGATGAACGACGTGAACAGGGGTCAGGGAGCGACGTTTCCAAGGTGGAACGCAGGTACCCAGCGTACCTTCCTCCGTTCTGTACAGCCAGCTAGTGGCTCTTTCCTTAGGTTTGGTGCAAGTGCGACTGGCAAGTGCAACGGAAGGCGGAGAAGCCGCGCACTGTGAACAAACCGTTGCGGGTCTTTCTTTGTTGAGGGGCTTGAAGTATTCGTACCTTCCCCCGTGAGAGAACCCAAGCATCCCTGCCACCGTCTCGCGGACGTAAGACTGACCGGACAGTTTGGGCCAACTAGGCCTGCCGTTTTGCCCGCACATGACGGGTCTCTGGTTCTACACAGTAGGATGGGTATCTTGGCTCAAGGAGCGTTGTCTAAGCACACCAAGGTGGTGGGCGATCCCCGGTAACTCGACATGGGAAGATAGACAGCCTAGAAGGGCAAACGGATGGAAAGTGCGGGAAGGGATGGAGTAAGAGGGACGCGACAGATTGGCGGGATAAGGTGTCATGATAATGCATAACAAAACACATTATAGCACCCTCCCCTACCGGTGCCTGGATGTCGGGACGAGATAACGGCTGGGATTCGGGGACTTTAGACTTTGGATGATCTTGACGTCGGAGGATTGGAGGATGTCTGGTTGGTCTTGATTCTCGAACAACCAAAGAGCCAGCATCCGTATCGTTATCCGTAACACAAAGGTGCGGATGTCTGTGAGAATTCAGAGGGGGAACGGATACACAGGTAGGTAAGGTACGGAAACAAGCCCCTGTTCAAACAGCACCGATAAGACGGTCGTGGCTTTGCGGCTGCGAGTCTTTGGCGTTGTTTGGTACGGGATATGGAGTGCGGCTGCATCTTTCGCATGACAACTGCCCCGAACCGAGTGATTCGAAAACAAGATGTCCGCTGACTCCGCTCGAAGTTGTTCGTGTCGTCTACGTACGATTCCGTCCATTGCAAGTTTAGAACACAGATTCCACTTCTCTTTGTTCTCTGAGCCAAGACCTGTTTCTATTCGTTCCTTGCATCCCCTTTCTTGAGCCGGCCGTTCGACGTGTCTGCTGATGGATGTCTGCATTATGGATTCAAAGTACCTACCTTTACCCTGTCAGTTACCCCTGTACCTAAGGACCGTACCCAAAAGGCCCCGCTCATGCATCTGTGCTTCACTGCTTGCTCCGTTCCGGGCCCACACAGTCTCATCAGCCACAGTCACAGCCAGACGTGTACGTACCTGCGCATGCAAAGGATGGAGTACGTACTCCATGGACGTGGACTTTCCTTTCCAAGTCATGCTTGACGGGAACCTCCTTGGACCTTCCGTTCATCGTCCCACCGTCCGGCTCTTATGCCTCCCTTTCCCGGCAGAATGCCAGAATCGACAGGACCAAGCCTCGAGGCCGAGCCTTCCAGGGCGATCAACAACGGAGCGAGGATGCGGGCGGTGGAGGTTGACCACTGACAGCCAGACAGCGTGAGTCTTGAGGGAGATCCGCACTCGCCTCCACAGATGCTGATGCAGCGCGCATCAGACACCGGCCGCGATTTTCTCTTACGGCCCCCAAAAAGGATGGAGACTCTTTCGTCCGTCTCCCCTCACTTACCGCGCAAGGTACGGCCATTTTGGCGGAAAGCGCGACACATTCTGCGAGTATCTTGCTCTGCCTCAGTCCCCGGCCGTGGCTCATGCTTCGCGACCCACGGCGTCTGGCGTTGCGTTGGACGAGACGGGAGTCACAAGACGGTGAGGACCAGAAGGATAGGCGACACTATTTGTACCGAGTACCCATAGCGGGCAGCGATCCAGAGACTGGGGCGCGCTCTCACCAGTTACCTCATGCTTATGCGGCATCTTTCGAGCCGCAAAACACGTGGTAGTGTCTGTCTACAAAGGAGACAGATACCCTTTAGTTGATACTAGCCACTAGCCTGGCATCGGACACGAGGTAGGAAAGGATGGACTTTTTCTAATAATCAGAGCCTGAGGATCTATTCGTGAAAGTACTGCGTACTGCGCACCTAGGCATGATGCTGAGTGTTCATCGGCGTCCAGGTGGTGGACGGATGCCGCGCGATTCGATTCAATGCGTCCATCGGGCGCGACGCCGCGAAGCCAACAAGAGAGAGCGAGAGGCACTCTGGCACTTGCCGGTCTCCCTTTTGGCCTCCCGCTTGCTGGGATAGGCCTCCCTTTTGTCGTGTTTGGTCTCTCCTCGGCCGCTGCATGTTTCTGCTCCCCCACCTTTCCCTCAATGGCCACTGGGCACAGAAAAGCAGTCCAGCATCAACAGGGCAAGGAACTGCAGCAACGAGCAGGGCCATGATCCATGGCGGGTGCGGTGGTGCACCTCCTATCAGCAGCCCCGATGGACCAACGGCGGCGCGCGGCGTTGCGGCGGTGTGTAGTCATTCTGGTGTGGGAGAGCGGAGAGAGAACGAGACTGGTCTGGCTGGTTTGGCTGGTCTGGATCTGGATTGGGGGATACGGATGCATGAGGTGAGGCGCAGGACGCAGGAACAGGTCAACAGCACACACTCGCATGCACACACAAGGTGCACAATTACCAGCTTGAGTGCGCCCACGCAGTAGCGTAGAAGCAAGATGGGCGAGGAGCCTAGGTACTGCGTACTGCATATGAGAGACGGGACGGATGGAGGAGGCTAAGAGCAGCTATGTAGGAGAAGGCGAGGAAGAGACATGGTGGAAGCGAGAGAGAAGGTCAGAAAAGGCTAAACGGGGGGGAACAAGCCGCTAAAGCCACTTGGGGCAAGGTTTACCAGCTTGGGACAGGTTCCGTTCGTCGGCGGCAGGTACGAACGGTAAAGTGGCTTTTATCGACGAATGAGAGAAGGCGCGTACCTGGCACTACCCCTGTGCACCCAGTCATTGTATGTACACTACTGCGTAGCCACTGGCCGGTGGTCGCTGGTGGTGTCGTCCATACGTCCAGCCCCGGTCCTCGTCATCGTCCCCCGTCAACGTCCGTCGTCCAGACTTCAAGTGTCCACCAGTCTGGGTGTGTCAATTGTCTGGCTTTCGCAGTGTTTTTCTCCTGTGCGGCGTGCGGCGTGTCTGCCCCATCCACAGTTCCACACCCATTCGTGCTGTGGACACTGAACACTGCACCTGCCGTCGAGGAGAGAAAGGGACGTGGACGGGAAAGTGCAAGAGCAAGAGCTGCCCCAAACCCTGCTCGCCAAAAAGGGGCGGAGGAAGGAGGCTACAGGAGTACCTACCTATCTTACCACAAGGAAGGTAGGTACATTCACATGATGCGTACCTACCTATTTCGAAGGTAGGGCTAAAGCATACGTTTTGTACAAAAGTATCAGACGGCACTCAACCTGGATCTCAGCTTCACCTCAGTCTCCTCGCTTCCGTACGGAAAAAGGTACATACTGCGTAAGGTATGGAGTCATGGAACCTATAGACCGTTTCTAACTGGTGCCTTTTCACACCAACGGTCCCATCCATCCATCCCCATCCTATGCCCTTGCCCACGACCATCCCGCAGACCGCACACACCACTGGCTGCTGAGCCGCCGCTGCACACCTCACGTCCCACGTCCCACGTCCGGTCTTTCCTTCCCCCTGTCATCCCAGGGATCCATTTTTCCACACCTCACCTCACCCCAACTCGACTCGCCTCACACCCTCGTCCCTCGCCCGCCCGCAACCCACACGCCTCACTCCTCTCCCGACCCTGGGGCAGTCCATCCAGACCAGAGCTCTTCCCAGCGAGTAGCCCTAAGGTAGACAGCACCTCAAGTATTCGTAGTGGGAGAACAAGTACCCAAGGCGTGTCTCCAGGCGTAAAGTCTGTGGTGAGCAGCAAAAAGGGAACTCCTGGAACTAAGGCGAGTCCATGGGAAAAGGTACCTTGCCTTACACGTAGAAGGGGAGCAGGAGGGGATAGGCACCTCACACCTACCTAGGAACAGGGTGGATTGGCGCCGGTTCGTTCGTTCGTTCGTTCGTTCGTCTGTTCTGTTCCCTTTTTTTTTTACTGGGGCCCGCCGCCTCGCGCCCATCCATTCCTTTTCCTTTTTCTCCTCTCTTGCCCCCATCCCTCCTGGTGTTCTTCCTCATCCCATCTCCTCATCGTCATCCTCGTCGTTCACGACAATCCCTTCCCTCCTATTCCTCTTCCCCCACTCCTTTTTTTTCCTTTTCACAGTCACTCTCTTGAAATAATTCAACCATCTCAGCTTCTGAATCCCGTCACTCCTTTCCGGGTATTCTCATTACGTTCCTTCCCGTCTGGTTGAATTACACACATTCGTTCTTCGCGAACCAAACGACACTATTCACACAAAAATCTCACCTCCTGTTCCCCCTTGTTGGATCAGAGACCACGCTCCTTAGCATCTTTTGCCTCACAGCTCATTCTATACCTTCCCTTAGCTTTCACAGCACCATACCTGTTACCACCCAATTACACCTAGTACCGCATCTGCGCGTTTCCGTGAACCAAACGATCCTCGACATCCCGATCACCTCCTGGACGCGACTAATACCGAGACTCCCTCACCTCGCAAACATCCGCCCACCCTGATTTGATCAACCACATCGCACCACATCACAAGCGATAAACTTCACCGACTTCATTCAAACCAAACGAAGGAATTTCGAGAAGGAAAAAAAAAGACATGGCTACCGAGGTCGAACACCCCGTGGGCCTCGTCCAGCAAGCCTCGACACCCGGCTCATCAACCCCTCAGGATGTCTCTCCCACATCCGCCCACAAGATGGACCAGACTCCCTCCCCCTCCACCTCCACCCACAATGGACAGCCTCCCTCTTCGCAATCAAGGCGCCCGCCGCGCAAGAGCACCCTGACCCAACAGCAGAAGAACCAGAAGAGACAGCGCGCGACTCAGGACCAGTTGACGACTCTGGAGGTGGAATTCAACAAGAACCCAACCCCCACTGCCACCGTTCGTGAGCGGATAGCAGAAGAGATCAACATGACCGAAAGGTCTGTTCAGATCTGGTTCCAGAACAGGTACGCTCTACTGCCCCTCGTTTTCCGGCTTTGCAGCCTGATACCCCTGAATCACCACTAACACTACACAGACGCGCCAAGATCAAGCTTTTGGCCAAGAAGAGCCTCGAGACCGGCGAAGACATCGATTCCATCCCCGAATCCATGCGAGCATACCTCGCTATGCAGGCGATGGAGTCCGGCAAGGGTCTCGGCGGCCCCTTCCTTGGCCGTACCGGCCTTCTCCCCTACGGCCACAATAACATGCTTCTCGGCGGTGACCAGAACGGCCAGGGCAAAGTTTGTAAGTCTAAGAAGTCCCTGGCAAAACCATCAATGAAAGCAGCACTAACATGCCCAGTGATCCATCATCTCACCTGCCGCTCTCTGAGCATCGGCAAGTGGACTCGCGTGGGACAGAACACGATGGATCTCATCATCTTCTACTCCCCTGACAAGTGCACTATGACCTACTACATCAACAACGAGCAGGCCGGCTACAAGATCGAGTACCCCTTTGCTTACATCAAGAACATCTTCCTCGAGAACCAGGAGGGTGACCCCAACAAGCCTGGTGGCATCGTCATCGAGCTGAACCGGGCTCCCAACTTCTTCATGGACTCCTCCCCTCAAGCCAGCGGATTCTTCCAGTGTGGCGACTTCACCGAGGACCAGCAGGCCTCGCACTGCTTGGTTCACCACCTCGGTGGCAACCCCAAGGTTCTCAGCGGCCAGTTGGCCAAGCTTGTCTCCTTGGAGGCCTTCATGAACCGCAACAACCCGCACCCCTTCATCGACCAGCAGCACGCCCTGTCCATGTCCGCTCCTGTGTCGCCCAGCCGCCCTTCATCCCAGCCCAACTTTGCCCAGCCGCACGTTGGCATGTTCCAGGAGTCTTGGGGCATCAACCACATGCACCCCGGCATGCGCGGACCTGGTCACAAGAGACAGCGCAGTCGCTCCGTGCCCATGGCTGTCGATTTCTCGATGCTCCAAACTCCCATGCCCTCCTTCTACATCCAGCAGCCGGGTGAAATGGCCGCTCCTCAGACGCCTGGTCCCAACATCTACGCACCGATTCCCCAGGCGCCCGGTGGACTCGGCCCCAACTTGAGAATCGACACCCAAGCCGGATTCGGTCTGGATATGCGCCAGTACCCGATGTCTGCTACCACCGCCTCCCCTTCCGAGTTCCCGACGAGCCCCAACTTCTTCTCCCAGGGCCCTGAGCCGAGCCCTCTCCCGGCCGCTTCCAGCTACAACACGCCGTACGGCAGTGCCTTCCTTTCTCCCATGGCACACCCGTCACCGAGCATGATCCCGCCCTCCGTGTCTCCCCTGTCATTCGGCAGCCACCACGGAGAGCCGTCCATCGTTGAGCAGTCGCCTCCGCTCTCCATGCTCGGTAGATCTGCGTCCGCCGATATCTACCAGCAGGGCGACAATGGATCATGTGCCGTATCTGATGATGGTACCGGCCTGAACGAGATGTACTCCAAGCACACCATCAACCTGCCGATGCACCCTCACTCACCTGCTTATGGTGAGCAAGGCCACAACGACCTCGACATGAACCAACTGGTCCAGTTTGACCACGTTGACCCCAACTCAATGTCTCCCGAGTCCATGCACCAAACACCCCACTGATTCCTGACATCGGTCTGCCGCACTGAACAAGTCGGGAAGAATCCGGAGTTCCTTTCACTAGGACATGGCGTACATACAAACTTGGGAAGGCGTGCTCTCTCAAATGGTTTATTCGGGAGAGAGGAGTTGCTTGCCTTGGTCATTCACAGCTGGCGTTTTAGGCGCTTGACATATACCAGATGGGGTTGCGCTTGGTCTACTTTCAACACCGATGACTATGATGTGTGATTCAGTTGTTACTACCACATCATCCATCGGCCACGACGACTCTGCATGACGATACCTCTATTCGGAATCTCGATCATGCATGTCCGGCACAGGCGATCGTACCTTTGCACTTTTTGGATTTACTTCACCCTTCGAGTCATTTATTGTCGCGAACAAAGAAACCGGCTTCTGGTACGAAGGTGTGGGCATTTCATCATGCCCACAATCCATCACCAAACCTAGTCCTTCAGCCACGCCTACCTCGCGGAGACGATGGCGTGGCCCCTAATATCCTTCCCTTCTCTCTTGGTTGGCTTGCGCTGCACATCGCTGTCTCGTTGATTTTTATTTCGTCTGTCATTGTTCATGAATCTCAGATGTCCTGGCTGCGGGTTTTGGAGGATGAAAATGGGGAAAAGCCCAGGTGGCTTGGGATTTTCCTGGTTCGTAATCAGTCACACACACACACAACACACATTTTTTTATTGAGGATATACAACTCTCTCAAGACACACATTACTTGTTTACCTATATTGTTGGGTATTTTCTTGGTTTGATGGGTCGTGGGAGCAGGGGCTTTGTGGCTTTTGTTGTTGAATGCCGGCACCAAAGGAGGTGGTAATGGGAAGCTGCCTCCGGTGGCCGAGCAGCGAAGAGGCTTGGCCGGCTGCTGTTCGAAAGAGAAGCGGCCAGCTTGTAAGCACTGACGATAGAGTTGAGAGACAGATGGGCATTGAATCCCTGTTTTCCCACTTTCACATTCGGTCCCCTAATTGTGATGTGACTTTCAACGATTCCCAAGTGATCAGCCCCTTGAGGCTCTCCGGTGATGTATCATGGCTACGACTGCTACGGTGAACCAATGCAACTTGCGAGACCCCACAGGCCCTGCTAGCAGAGAGGTAAGGCTTGACCAGAACCGACGCAGCCGTCTTCGATTTCAGGTCCGACGCCCCGCCGACTATGCCCATGGAGCTTGGACGTATGCAATTCCATCTGATGTGTCTCCTATGAGTTTGTGCGGGTAAGGCTGAAGAGAATCCGATCTGCCTTGAATGCCCGGGGTTGGGGAGGGGCTTGTCGCAGCCGCGTGCTCTGTTACGCAGCAAGGCAGGCTTGGACATGTTACGTGAGGTTGCGTTTCGCTGAGTCTTATGCTCTGCCCCAATAGCAGAGATACAGCGTATTACTGTATACGGTATTTACGAGAGTGTGCGCCGGAGGAGGATCAACGTGTAAGACAAAAGGCAGCGTGAGGTCTCGACTGGTCGGCTGGTCGGCTGATGTTTGGTTGCCCAACTGCCTAGCTTGTGTGCTTGCCCATCCCTTTTAGCCTAGTTCAGAGGAGGACGTTGGCGCGCGAGCCCGGCTGGTCCAGAGAGGCGGGGATGGATGGGTGGGTTGCTTGGAGTGCATCTGGTCAGCGAGGCGGCGGCCCGCTAACACGAGGTTCTTTGGGGGGCTTGAGGGACGCTCTGTGCACCCTAAATAACGTAAGGTAAGCCGGAGATCTGTCCATCATTGACTGTCTGTTCCGTTCAATCGATCAATCGTAGCACGAGATGTAATGCCTTTCTCTCTTCTTTTGAGTCGTGTTTGATTTGCGGCTCCGAGAAGGCGGATCGGACGGGGACGATACAAAGGCATTGTGGACTCGGACGATTGTGCTTTGGGTGTGGTGTGGACGTTTCGACGGGAATTTCCGGCGGTATGGTATGGGATATTGCCCGATATTTCGAAGAACGGTCAGGAGCCAGGTGCCATGCTGGACTGCTGCAGGCATTAACGGATGGAAATGAGACGAGACGGCGTTACTTTCCTGGACGCCGGAGCGGAGGGGGGGTCTGTGGCACCTTACGGGTAGGAAATGTAGCCGGATACGGGAACTCTAATCTTTTCGCGGTGAGGTACTGTAGACTGGAGAGATCGGGTAGGGTGTCTTTTCCCCTTCTTCGCTGCAGGATCCATACAAAATATCCGTAGTGGTAGCGGTAGGTCTCTTTGATAGGTATCCAGGAAGCCCCCTGCAGTGTGTATAGGCTACCAGCCATCGGCCACGTTCGTCTGAAGGACGACGACGGTCTCGCACTGCTCTTTCGTGACTAGTAAAACTCACGTGAGATGATGCGAGTCGGGGCTGCACAGTAGTGTAGTGCAGGTGCGTGGGGATGCTGTCAGCGACTTTGTTGCTTTCTGTCAACCGCGTGGTTGTTGAATAAGTTACAAGGCAATTAGTCGAACTTGCATCTGCCACTTGAAGGATGGTCTTCTTTCGTCCACACCCTCACAGGCACAGAATATTTGCCAAGTCATGGATGACGGGCAGTGTTGGTGTTGCTTTCGCATTCGCAATGTTTCAAAGCGTGCGGAAGGCACCAAGAAAAGTGTGTGATGGGAGCTGCGACGGTCGCCAAGATGGTCAATGACTTGTTGAAGCTGTCTTTGATGGATGGATGGATGGACAGAAATGGATGGCCGATCGAAACCTTTTCCTCAGATCGTCCGCAGCTTCCGACGTCCGTTCGGATAGCAGGCAGGTTGTAGGCGGAGCGGGTCCTTCTGTGGTTGGAGATGGGCGGACAGCTCGGTACGTACTGCTGTGTCCTCAGGGAGGAAGGGAAGGAATGGGTGGGTGTTGGCTCCTGCTTCGCTCGCACTTTGGCGATTCCCAGCTGGGAAGTTCAGGTGCATCCCATCTCTCGCCCAATGACGTCCTCAATGCGGGGGCACGGCAAAATATCGAATGAGCTACTGCACTGTTGCTGCTGGCCTGCTAGTCGGAAGCCGGGACTTTCCCATTTTCTCCATGCCCGGGGCGCTGATGCTCTTTGGCGGCTGGCCAACTGAACTTTTCTCTTCCGCGCCCCGGTCCTTGACGAAAAAAAAAGTCTCTATTTCGTCGTTCTTCATTCGTTCATGTGCTGTACGGAACGCAGACGTAAGGCACTACTATTTCTCGCGCCCGACCTGCCGACCGCGATGGCCCCACGGATTCATGGATCCAACCAACGTTTACTCGTCTCCGCGAACCGCGGATGAGCGCGTGGTGGGTGAGGAGCTGTTCCGCGGGCTTTTCATTGATTCGTACGAGTACTTCGTAAGGAAACATCGGGCAACAAGATGACCGTGGCAGTGCAGAAGAGGCGCCAAGCCCGCATCAGACACTCAGACAGGTTCCTCCCACCTTGAGGCTCGCCTTGCAAATGTGTACCGGTAGCCCTTTCTCCATTGATTGGGGGCTCCAGACGTTTACTGTGTAGTCGTTACTGGGTATTCCCACACAATGCCCCAGAGGTCCAAGACCAACCCACCTAGTCACCGACTCACCAGTGAGCCGCGGCATGATAATCTTGACTTTTTGCCAAGCGCCTCGTCGTCGTCCATACTTGCGTATTGAGCGCGGCGCAGCTCTGTACGCTGCAACCTTTTCGGCTCTACTCGTGTCTACTCGCGGGGTGTCTACCAAATACCAAGAGCAAGGCAAGGAACTGCCAAGAAGCCCTCATCTGCTTTCCCTTAAGGTGCAGAGTATCTAATCTGCCAACGATTGACGAGTGCAATTGATGGGGGAGCATCGATCTAGTTCCATTTACGGGGACCTTCCGCCGGCGCTTCCTTCGGCGTCCACCTCTTACGGGAATACAGCACCGCCCAGCCTGCCAATTTTTTTTACCTTGACGTCTCTCGTCCTCGATTCGAGGCTGGCTCGCCTTGCTTACTACTACTACTACTACTACTCCTCAACACCACTGTTCAACAACATCAACACCATTAGTATTTTCTTGAATTGTTATTCTTCAAGACGACTGCTCTACCATTCACTTGCGCACTATTCCCGCCCGTGACGTCGCGGCAATCGCAGATCCTACCACTTTCCTAAGACGCTTTCAGTTCTTCCTGCAAACCCATTATATACGTTTCTGTGCAGCTTTGAGCCACCTGCGCTGGTACGGCACTTGGAGATCCCACGACTCTAAAGGACCACGCCAGATCCAGAAAGGAACGCGCCGCCACCTCCAAGTCGAGCCCAATGAAGAGCTTCATGGCCGAGCCACTCTGGTGAATCCGGGCCGCTTTCTAAGGGATCCGTCTGGAACAAGCCCATTTTTGCCGTCCTTCTAGTCTCGAGCTAGCCTTGACCAGCTAACCACCACTGTGGTTCTCGATCCGCGCTTCTGGGGGCTAGACTGAGACTGCCACTGCTCAGTGTACGGCCTAGACAGAAAGCGACCAAGCCTCGCCTCGCGCGCCCCTCAAGAATGGACAGACGGCATCTGGGCGACGCCCCTTCACAGCAACATGAAGACGCTGACCCCGCCCCAAGAACGTCGTCAAGCTCAACCTCCTCTGGCCATAATGACAACGATCTTCATGACATATCCCCGCCATCAGTGACTCCCGCGCCGCGCGCAGCGCAAAGACTTCACCCGAGACGAGCCATCACCGAACCCATGGGGAGCAAAGGCGCCCTCGACGGCGGTCATGTCCGTTTCTCGGACGAGCTTCAACGCGAGTCCAGGCGCAGCTTCGACCCGCCGTCATCACACCCGAACTCGAATAGGCCAGGGCTCTACACGATCCCTTCAAGGGGTGATCTTGAGGGCCATATCCAGGACGAGCCCTCGTCCTCACGACCTCGACGGGGCAGCGACCACAGCTCCGCGCAACCTTCAGACTCTGATCTCAAGTATCCAATCTACCGACCAGAGCCAACGAAAAGGACGAAATGGCGCGTTGCGCAGGAGTCGGTCAGCGACCAGCTAAGGAAGGCCTACAATGTGTACATTGTGCAGGGATTGTTGCGACAGAAGCCGCTCCCGCCGAGCGCAGATGGAAGGCATATCCCACTCGACATGTCAAGGGAACGGAGTGACCATCTCATCGACGAGCGCACTAAGAAGTCGTACGCCAGTAATTTTATCCGATCCAGTCGATACACGATATGGAGCTTCCTGCCCAAACAGCTCCTGTTCCAGTTCAGTAAGATGGGCAACTTCTACTTCCTTGTCGTGGGTATCATTCAAGCCATCCCGGGACTCAGCACTACGGGCCAGTGGACTACCATTGCACCTCTCGCCGTGTTTGTGTCATTATCAATGGCCAAGGAAGGATACGACGACTACCGCCGGTATCTGCTGGCAAAGACGGAAAACTTGAGTCGCGCATGGGTTTTGGGCGAACGATCCAAGAAGGCGACAGCGAGGATGAAGAGGCACAAGGATGGCGAAGTTGCGGAATACTCGGCAGATGGATGGACCGAGATTGAATGGCAGGACCTCAAGGTTGGCGACGTCGTCAGACTTCAACGCGACGACGACATTCCGGCGGATATCGTCCTTCTATATGCGTCCGGGCCCAACGGTACCGCATACATCGAGACTATGGCATTGGACGGCGAGACGAATTTGAAGGCCAAGAGAGCCTCACCTATTCTCGCTGAAAGGTGTCAAACTCTGCAAGGCATCGAGTCTTGTCAGGCAACCATCGTCTCCGAGGACCCGAATCTGGATCTTTACAGGTATGACGGACGTGTCACCGTCAACGGAGAGACACTGCCGCTGTCGCTCGACAATGTCATTTACCGCGGCTCTACGGTGCGAAACACTACAGAAGCTATCGGCATCGTCGTGAACACGGGTGAAGAATGCAAGATCCGAATGAACGCTCACAAGCACGTACGCACCAAAGCGCCCGCCATGCAGCGCGTCCTTAACAGAATCGTCGTTTGGCTCATAGTGGTGCTACTCGGCCTCAGCAGCGGTCTAACCTTGGGCCACTATCTGTGGCGAGATCCTGCCGAGTCCTCTTGGTACTTTATGGGCGAGCGCATTAAGATGAGAAAGATCTTCATTGCTTTCATACTCATGTTCAACACGCTCATCCCTCTTTCGCTATACATCAGTTTGGAAATCATAAAGATCATACAGTTTTACATGATGGGAGACGTCGAGATGTACGACCCGGTCACTAATACGCCAATGGTTGCCAACACCACGACGATCCTCGAAGACTTGGGCCAAGTCAACTACGTCTTCTCAGACAAAACAGGCACCTTGACGGAAAACGTGATGCGCTTCAGAAAGATGAGCGTCGCCGGCACCGCATGGCTGCACGATATGGACATTGAACGAGACGAACACGCCAAGCAAAGGTTGATTGACATGGCTCGCAAGAAGCGCAAGGGAAAAGGCAAGGACAAGAACCGCGAAAAGACAACGAGCGATCACGACAACTATTCGTCCTCGACACCAGCCCAAGGAAGGCCATCCATTAGTACGTATGGACGGGGACGCTCTACAAGTCGGGCGCCTCAAGCCGAGCCTGAGCTCAAGACGGAAGATCTCCTGGACTACCTGCGACGCAAACCGGACACTGTCTTTTCCAAGAAAGCCAAGCAATTCCTACTCTGCATCGCTCTCTGCCACACATGTTTACCCGAGACAAAGGAAGACGGCGAGATCGAATACCAAGCTGCCTCTCCCGATGAGCTTGCTTTGGTTGAAGCTGCGAGAGATCTTGGCTACCTCCTCATTGACCGGCCTGCACAATCAGTCATTCTCCAAATTCCCGAAGCTGATGGAACGATCAAAAGAGAGACGTACCAGGTGCTAGACGTCATTGAGTTCAGCAGTCAGAGGAAGAGGATGTCCATCATCATGCGCATGCCCGACGGCAGAGTATGTGTTTACTGTAAAGGCGCCGACAACGTCATCTTGCCTCGTCTTAAGCTCAGCGGCCTTGCCACACAAAAGGCAAGCGACGTCAATCGGAGAGCTTCGATTCGTAGAAGTGTCGAGAGGGAAAAGGCACAACAACGCCTCAGCACAAGTGGAACGCCCCGCAGCAGCTTTGCAATTGGGAGAACGTCAATGTCAGATCGGCGCAGCATGATGAACCAGAGAATCTCTAGTGACATGCTCAGACGATCCAGCGCCGTTACCGACGATGCCGACGCATGGACCTCACGCAGAGGTTCAGCAGACATCCTCTCGCCCATGAGCGCTCACGAAGTTTGGTCATCGCCTCGTCACAGCATGGCCATGTCAGCAAACGAGGATGAAGTGGACGACTTCATTGACGAGTCTGTGGCTCTCAACGAGGGCACCGTTCTCGAACGATGCTTCACGCACATCAACGAGTTTGCTTCGGAGGGTCTGCGGACTTTACTTTACGGCTACCGATACATCAGCGAGGATGATTACAACACGTGGAAAAGGATCTATCATGATGCCACCACTAGTTTGGATAATCGACAAGAAAAGATCGAGGCGGCCGGTGAGCTCATTGAGGATAAGTTCGAACTTGCTGGTGCCACCGCCATCGAGGATCGATTGCAAGAGGGCGTCCCAGAAACGATTGAGAAGCTCCGTCGCGCCGAGATCAAGGTGTGGATGTTGACGGGAGATAAGCGCGAGACTGCCATCAATATCGGTCACTCTGCCGGCCTGTGCAAGCCATTCTCCGAGGTCTTCATCCTGGATGCTACAATGGGCAACCTGCAGGAGTCAATCCTCTCGACCCTAGGTGAAGTCGCCCGAGGTATGGCGCCCCACGCGGTAGTAGTGGTTGACGGCCAGACCTTGGGTATCATTGAAGGAGACGAGGACCTCAGCTTCCTCTTCTTCGACCTTGTAGTGAGGGTTGACTCAGTCATTTGTTGTCGCGCCTCTCCCTCGCAGAAGGCCACTCTTGTCAAGCGCATTCGCCGGCAAGTACCTCACTCCCTGACGCTAGCCATTGGCGACGGCGCCAACGACATCGGCATGATCCAAGCCTCGCATGTTGGTATCGGCATCTCGGGCCGCGAAGGTCTCCAAGCCGCTCGCATCTCCGACTACGCCATTGCGCAATTCCGCTTCTTGCAGCGTCTTCTCTTTGTCCACGGCCGCTGGAACTACCTTAGGACTGGCAGATATATTCTCGCCACTTTTTGGAAGGAAATCGTCTTCTTCTTGCCACAGGCTTACTTCCAGCGTTACACGGGATACACCGGGACGTCTCTATATGAAAACTGGAGTTTGACGGTGTTCAACACTTTCTTCACGTCGCTCGCTGTTATCTTGTTGGGCGGTTTGGAAAAGGATTTGCAAGCCAAGACGCTCCTTGAATTCCCCGAGCTCTACACCTTTGGCCACAAGAACAGAGCTTTCAACATCAAGCTTTACATCGGCTGGACATTCCTCGGGCTGATTGAGTCTCTCATCATCTTTTGGGTGACCTGGGCGGTCTACAACTCGCTGCCTTTCGATCAGGACACATCGCTCTACGCTATGGGATCCGTGCCCTTTACGGTTGCTGTGGTGTTTATCAACATCAAGTTGCTGTGAGTTACTTCGTGTGTAATTGTGCAAAATATTTTGCTTACAAGTTTAGGGTTCTTGAGATGGAAAACAAGAACATTATCATCCTGGCCGGGTTTCTCATCTCGGTCGGGGGTTGGTTCTTGTGGAACATTATTCTTTCCGCAGCTTTCCGGCCCATCCTGCGCATCTATCAGCTTCGCCACGCGTTCATTCATAACTTTGGTAGAACATTGAGCTTCTGGACTACTATTCTCCTTGCACTTGCGACCGTGATCTGCTTGGAGCTGATAGTCGACGCGATACGTCGGGTTTACTGGCCGCGCGATGTTGATTGAGCTGATAGTCGACGCGATACGTCGGGTTTACTGGCCGCGCGATGTTGATATCATGCAACGTCTTGAGAGGAAGGGCTTCAATGCGAACGACGCGGCCGAGGGAATGGAAGGTGGCCACGGCGAGACCTCTGGAACGGTGCTGGAAGTTATCAGCAGCAAGACCAAGTCGGTCTTTGGCCACACCGAGGAGAGGCCCTCGAACCTTGACGGGGCACCTAGGCCAAGTCACTCGACTACTCGGCCTTCATTCCATCAGGCACGGCAGTCTCGAAGATCGAGAGACGAGTCGGCCGCCAGGTCTTTCACGCCCCCGGTTGAGGAAGCCAATATTGCAGACCCAGAGCTGAGTTCAGAGCCAACGAAAAAGCCACGCCTTTCTGTGGCGACGAGGTGGTTGGGGAGCTCAAAGAACACTCCAGTGAACGGCCCCATTGAGCTGCGGTCAACTGGTCAATCATCGAGATCGTAAAACGAAGGTGGAGGATGAGAATTGTTTTTGTACATAATTGGCCGTCATGATTTAGCATTACGGTCACTTGGACTGTCCTTTTCGGGTTTCGGGGTTTTGGTTCTTGTTCTTGATACCACAAAGCATGATGGGTTTCCCTTTTACGTTTGGCGTTTTCAGAGGTCAAACATGAGTCGGCAGTAGACAGCGGGGGACGGCATACAACAGGCAGGCGTAGTAGTCTGTGTACATACGGGGAAAAGACTATACAATGAATTCAAGACTCTCTCAGCTATCACGATGCTGAACTATCACGATGATTTCTGCTATGATTGTCTGTTGCGTCTGAGAAATCAGAGCCGCTATGCTTTATTATGCATTAGAACAAGTGCGAAGAGCAGGAAGAATCTGGCTGTGGTGTATGTACATGATCATGATTTCGGTGATTATTGTGTCCTCGTGGGCTTCATGATCGTTTGAGGGTTGGTGCTGAGACTTGGGAGGGTTAGTTATCCTCCTTCTCGTCCTTCTTCTCGTCCTTCTTCTCGTCCTTCTTCTCGTCCTTCTTCTCGTCCTTCTTCTCGTCCTTCTTCTCGTCCTTCTTCTCGTCCTTCTTGTCCTCCTTGGAGTCTTCGGACTTCTCCTCCTTCTTATCCTCAGACTTCTCCTCCTTCTTGTCGTCAGACTTATCCTCCTTCTTGTCGTCAGACTTCTCTTCCTTCTCCTCACCCTTCTTCTCGTCCTTGGACTCTCCCTTGGGCTTATCCTCAGACTTTTCCTCCTTCTTCTCATCCTTGGGCTTCTCGGACTTATCTTCCTTCTTATCCTCAGACTTCTCGTCCTTCTTGTCATCAGACTTCTCCTTCTTGTCGTCAGACTTCTCCTGCTTCTTCTCTTCGGACTTAGACTCCTCCTTTTCCTCAGACTTATCGTCCTTCTTCTCCTCGGTCTTAGACTCCTCCTTGTCCTCAGACTTTGACTCCTCTTCCTTCTCCTTCTCCTTCTCCTCAGGCTCGTCGTGCTTCTCCTCCTCGTCATGCTTGGCATGAGCAGCGCCGTGTCCCTTGGACGGCGCGGGACCGCTCCATGGCTGGATGACGGCCAGACCGGCGGCGAAGAAGACTACTGAGCCAATGGCACTGTATCACGAATAGTGGTCAGACACGTCATCCTCGGGCAAGTCTTGACTGACAATCGTCCCGTTTCACGCAAATTTGCTCAATTCAAGGAGCCAATTGAGTTTCAAATTGGGATACAGAGGCAATTGGACTTACAGAGGGAGCTCGCTCTGGGGCTTCGCGCCATGTTGGCTGGCGTAGTTCCTCTGGCCGACCTGGGAACGGAACTGGGGACGGATCGTCCGGCGCGCCGAGGGTCGGAGGGCGGAACGCAGGGAAGCTGCTCTGGCGAAAGACATTTTTGAAATTGTACTTGGTTGAACGCAGGGAAATGCTCAAGTCGCTTAGAGAAAGGAGGAAGCTCAATGGCAAGACCAATTGGAATAGTTGCGAGTGTCCTTTGTAAAGAAAACAAACAGGAGGAAAGGAGAAGAGGAGCCAAGAGAGCAACACGAGAAAAACCCGCTTGGGAAAGCACGTAAGGAAGCCAAAAGAAGAAAAAAGCTGGGGTTGGACTGGTGTGGCTTGACCTTGGTTTCTGGCCTGTTGTGCTGGCTGACATTGAGTGACCTGCCGTCCGAAGTCTAGGAGCTCGGAGCTGCGAGCTCTCTGCCTCCAGCTTGCACCAGCAACGAGCTTCTAGAGCAATCGGCCAATGGTAGGGAAGAGGCTGGATACTGCGTAGTGCCTAGATGCCGGGGGTGGCTGGTTCCCCACAGCTTTGTGGTGACGACATTTGCCGGGGGGTGCCGAAGGGGCCCGCACGACATACCTACCTTACCTCAATCCCGAAATGGGGAGATGGGAGCTCGAGGTCAAGGTGTCGTGGTTCCATCCGGTGCTTATCTAATTTTTGGCCGGAATAACTCATCGGAGCGAGCTTGGGCCAGCACGGACCTAATGGATTTCCCAGAGACTTACATAACGCTCCGGCGTGGTGAAGGTTACTGCGGGCAGTGGTAGGGGTCCACTTTCGCGGGGCAAGAACGTCCCGGAACTGGTAGCATTGAGGGGACCTCTGTCTGTATTGTCTGAGGTACCTGCTGGGCTGTCTAAGGTAATCCCGCCCAACGACACTGACTGGGCCCTTCCTGCTTGGAGCTCTGGAACCTGTAACCCCACCACCAACAACGCCTCTTTCACGAGGGTCTATGTTGTCGTGATCCAAAGCCAACTTCAAAAACACCCATCCCAATTTACCGCCCCGATACATATCGTATCTTTGCACCATATTTCCACTTATCGCCGGACTGTCGACCTTCTTTTCTCTTTCCTCTGCATGGTCAGAGCAACCGATTCCCCGCTGACACGCCACCTGCCGCGATAACCTCCTCATCTCCATTACCCTCGCACGCAGCGAACCAGCCCATCCGACACACTCCAGGATGGCTTCGTCAAGCGTGCCGGCGAATCCGACGCCGCAGACAGTGATCCAGCTCGTGCAGAAGCTAGGAGACGCTGACCCGGATTTCCGCTTCATGTCGCTCAACGATCTGCTCCAGGTCCTGGCCAACGGCAAGCCCGACTTTTTGCACCACGACTACAACGTCGCCGCACGTACTGTTGATAGCATCATCAAGGCGCTCGACGACCAGAATGGCGAGGTGCAGAACCTGGCGATCAAATGGTGCGAGAATCTGAGCCCCCTTACCATCTTTGCAAACCCCTCCCCAACGCTCGACAAGCAATGCCAGGAGCTAACCAGTTTCCCTCCGCAGTCTCGGACCGCTGGTTATGAAAGTACCGACCCCGATTATCGCACCGATGATTGAGAAACTCTCTGCAATCAAGCTTAAGAACTCGGTTGACAATGCTGTTCCCTCGCTCGCCCTCCGCGCCGTCATCATGGCCCTCCCGAAACCCACACCTGGCTTGCCGCCCGCCAAGGACGTGACAGAATCATACCAAGCCGTCAGCCGCGTTCTGATCCCGCGACTTCTGGGACCCGGCGGCAAGGTGCAGCCGCAGAACCCCTCAAACAACATTCAGTTGCCGCCCGTCCCGCAGGGTCTCCTTAAGGTGGACAAAGACCTTAGCGCAGAGTCGGTGGACATTCTTATCGAGGTCGTCAGATGCTTTGGCGTGATGCTCTCGCCCCTCGAGGTCGAGGCGATGCAAGATGCGGTCATTAGCCTGCTCGAGAACGACAAGACATCATCAGTCGTGAAGAAGAGAGCTGTGGTAGCTACTTCGATACTTGCCATTCACCTGTCGGACGAGTTGCTCAGCCAGATGGTCGACCGAATGGGCAACGACCTGAGCAAGGCCGATATCTCTGCAGTCACACGCCGTCTCTATATTTCAATCACTGGCTCATTGGCGAGATCCATTCCCAATCGTTTCGGCTCATACCTGAAGACTCTGGTGCCCTTCATTCTCCAAGCTCTGAGCGAGGGTGAGCTCGAGAAGCATCTGGAGGAGATCAGCGACGGAGATGACATTGGCCAGGAGTTCAACGAGGTGCGAGAATCCGCTCTCGTGGCCCTGGAATCATTCCTCGCCGCTTGCCCGACGCAGATGCGCCCCTTTACCGACCAAACCATTCAGGCGACCCTCAGATATCTCAAGTACGACCCCAACTACGCAATGGGCGATGACGACGAAGATATGGACGTTGACGACGAGGATGAGGATGAGGATGATGACGAGTTCGAAGACGATGCTGGCTTTGACGATGATGACGACGCAAGCTGGAAGGTCCGTCGTTGTGCCGCCAAGGCTCTTTATACACTCATTTCAACCCGTGGAAGTGGTGATTTGTTAGAGAACGGTGTTTTATACAGCCAGGCTGGACCCACTTTGGTAAAGAGATTCGACGAGAGAGAGGAGAACGTCCGTCTAGAGGTTATTGCTTGTTTGTCTCTTCTTGTGCGCAAGACGGGCGAGGGCATGTATCCCACTGATCTCTCACTCGACGACCACGAGCCCGAGGCGCCTAGCTCCATCCCCATCAGCAGAAAACGCAGACGTCAGAGCAGCGGCGGCGGTTCTATGAGCACCCCTCATGCCGCCACAGGTCTTACATCCCCCACCCTTGAGAGAATCCCTTCAACTGGACCCCGCGCAGATCTGGCTCGCTTCACCCCGACGATTGTGAAGGCTTCCACCAAGCTGCTCAAGGGCAAGGTTATTCCTACCAAGCAAGCTATTATCAACCTCCTTGACGATATCATCACGGTCCAGCGGGGTGGTCTTTCCGACTACTTTAACGACGCCATTGGCCCCATCATTGAGTCTATTAAACCCACCGGAGCTTCAGCGCTCGCCTCATCTCTGGCTGCCTCCGGTGGCAATGCGTCCGCGACACCCAGCACTCTGCGTGTTGCCGCCCTGAAACTCACCAGCGATATTGCCAAGACCCATTCTTCAAGTCTCTTGCAGCCGTACCTGACCAAGATAGTGGCTGGTGTCATTTCGGCAGCCAACGATCGATTCTACAAGATCTCAAGTGAAGCCATCGGGACGATCGAGGAGTTGGTAAAGGCAATCACTCCCCCTCGGTCTAAGATGACGGCACAGAAGTTCAAGGGCGAGCTTCAGAAGCTCTTCGACACGATCATGAACAGAATCACTGCGACTGACGCCGATGCTGAAGTTAAGCAGCGTGGTATCCACGCCTTGGGAGTCTTGCTGTCTAGAACCTCCGGTGCCGACGGCAATGGTCTGATCCCAGCCGACAAGCGACAGGCTGCCTTGACTGCACTTCTTGACCGCCTCAAGAACGAGACGACTCGCCTGGCTGCCGTCAGAGCCGTCGATAACGTCGCAGCTTTCAGCACTAGCAGTGGCCAGCTCGAGACGTCGTGGATTCGGGAGGTCGCCCTGGAGCTTGCCGGACAACTCCGAAAGGCTAACCGAGCTCTTCGCGGTTCTAGCGTGCTCGCACTCAAGCATTTGGTGGTGTCGCCAACCGCCAGAGGTCAATTGGATGCAGACACTATTCAGGGCCTGGTTTCGTCGTTGGTGCCCGTTATTAGCAACAATGACACCCATCTGTTGGCACCCGCCCTGCTCATTCTCGCGACCCTCGTCGAGGAAAACGCCGACCTGGTGGTCACCCAGTCAATGACTGCTACCATCTGCAGTCTGCTCAAGTCAAGCTACGCCAGCATCGTCCTAGACCAAATTCTTATTCTTGTAACAAAGGTTGGCGAGAGCGGTGCCGGCCAGCCTCTCATGCAAGGGCTTCTCAATGACGTTAGTATCGAAGGAGATCCCGTTGTCGTGGGCAAGGTCATTGGTGCACTTCTTGTGGCCAGTGGAAGCTCGGCTGGCGTCACAGTCGAGAGCTTCATTTCCGAGTTACAAACCAGCTCCAGAAACAAGGACGACGCTCGCTTGAGCTTGGCGCTTGCGGTGCTCGGTGAGGCTGGTCTCCGTCTTGGAGCCAACTCGCCATTGAAGGCGGAGCTGTTCTTGCAACAGTTCCACGAAGAGCCCGACAAGGTCTCCATCTCAGCTGCAGTGGCCCTTGGCCGTGCTGGTTCGGGCAATGTTTCCGAGTACCTTCCAGTCATTCTGGCAACCATGCAGAAGGGTGGCAACACGCAATACTTGCTTATCCAGTCGATAAAGGAGATCCTGCAGCAAGTCAACGTTCTCTCTGCCGAGGTCTCCAAGTTCGCAGCCGACATCTGGCAGCACCTTCTTTCCGCCTCCACCATTCCTGATAATCGAGTGGTGTGCGCGGAATGTGTGGGACGACTGACCATCATCGACTCTCAGACCTTTATGCCTCAGCTTCAGGTAAGTTGAACAAATTCATCACTCATAGAGTGAAACTAACAACGACAAAGTCCCTTCTAAGAAATGAGAACCCCGACATTCGAGGCATGTCTGTTCAGGCTGTTCGATACACGCTTCCTGATAGTGACGAAGCTTTCGACGCCATGCTCAAGAATGTCCTTGTCGATATGCTGCTTGTCATGCTGCAGGATTCGGAGATGGACAACCGCCGCTTGGCGATGTCAACACTCAACTCGGCTGCGCACAACAAGCCCGATCTTATTCTGCCTCACCTCGGCGAGCTGATGCCGTTTGTGTTGACCGAGTCGGTGATCAAGCCACAATTGATCAGAGAGGTCATGATGGGTCCTTTCAAACATATGGTGGATGATGGCCTTGAAGTCCGAAAGGTATGTTTTGCTCAACTCCGGAAAGTTGAATGCGGCTGTTGCTGACCACAAACACAGAGCGCTTACGAGACCCTGTACGCTCTCATGGAGACGGCCTTCTCGCGAATCAACAACATTGACTTCTACGACCGCGTGGTCGCTGGTCTGAAAGATGACAACGATATTCGCAGTCTCTGCAACTTGATGGTTTCCAAGCTTATCGCGCTTGACCCTGATGAGACTAGCCGTCGCCTTGACTCCATCGCCGAGGCATACCGCGCCATCTTGTCAACCAAGCTCAAGGACGGAGCCGTCAAGCAGGATGTGGAGAAGCAGGAGGAGGCGAACAAGAGCGTTCTTAGGGTCACGCTCTTGCTCGGAGACAAACTCAAGGGTGCAAAGGATGGTTCTGGCAAGGGAGCAGCCAACGCGAGTGCCGGAGGTGCCAGCCAGGCGTGGAACGCTTACTGGGAGTGGGTTAACAAGGAGTTCCAAGCGCAGCTTAGAAGCCTGCGTGAGGAGACCAAGAACCTTAGCATTCTGTAGTACAGACACTACATAGAGGCAGGCCACCTTCATCTTACTCTTGAAGATGAGGCATAGCTAGGACGCTCAAGGACAGCAGAGGATGAATAAGATTTCAGCATTTGATTTTACG